GAGACTGTGAGTTCTTTGAGAGCATAGACTGTTATTTGCCTTTCTTTGTATTCCTAGCACTTAGTACAGTGTCTGACACATTTATTATTGTTGTTCAGTTGTTTGTTGTGTCCAACTCTCCATGACCCCATTTTGGAGTTTTCTTGGCAAAGATACTGGAGTGGTTTGTCATTTCCTTCTCCAGCTAAGTTTACAGACGAGGAAACTGAGGCAAACAGGATTAGGTGACTTGCCTTGTATCACATAACTAGTAAGTATCTGAGGCCAGATTTGAACTCTTGAAGATAAGTCTTCCTGATTCTAAGCCCATTGCTCTATCTCCTGCTCCATCTAGCTGCCTGTCTGACACATAGTAGGTACTTAATAAGTGTTTATTGACTTGACATAACTTAGTCCCCCAGACAAGTTTATGATTGTAAGCTACAGAGCATTTGGTGATCTGCATTGATAAAGGCAATTACCTCACCAGAAGTTCCCTAAATCAATGAAGTAGGAAATTAGATTGATATACATAGTTATCATTTTTATAATAACAATAATTATTATTATTTCCATTAACCTTTCCACACAGATCTTATTCCCTCTAGCACAGGAAAGCGAGAAAATATGGATAACAATCTTTTCAGATTTTGAAAATAAAATAGGTTTCCATTTTCTAATGCTTATTCTTTAAAAGACCTTCCTTAAGGCTGAGTGTCAAGAGGTCAAAACAGATAGGACTAAAAACCTGGGGCTAGGGAACTGAGAATCCATCTACCTGGTTGTTGATGCCAAGAGAAGAGTTATGTTAAAAAGAAAAAAAGAGTTTTCTTCTTGGGACCACAGGCAATGCTTCATATTTAACTAATCCATGAATCTTTGGGAAAGGAACCCAACTGGAGGGCATTCCAAGTAAGTGACTGTAACTCAGTGTTTCTTCTGAGACTAAAAGTTGGCTTTGTTTCTCAAGTTAATTGGGGGGGGGGAGACTGAAAGATTCTCCCTACAACATTCCCCTCATGATTATCCCTCTTACCCTAAATGTTCTTTGCTTCTCTTTCTTTTCCTTTCTGGCAAACTTTGGAAGTCCTACCCAGTTGGCAGCAAATAAATGGATTTTGAATGTACCTGTAATGAGGTGGTACTGTATTGTAGAAAGAACAATGGTCAGAGAGACAAGAAGTATGGATTGAATCACCATCCCAATAGGCAGTGACCACTGGGAAATTCTCCAGCAGAGTCAAAAAGATTCTACTCTCCACTAGTATAATGTTATTGTCTGATCTTGGAAAAGTCACTTCATCTCTATAGGATTTTTTCCTCTTTTTTAAAATAGGGAAATTGGTTTAGATAAGGTAAAATGTCCCTTCCATCTCTAACAGTCAAGGAGATTAAATGAGAATTTAAGGGCAGAGGCCAGGAGGAAAATAAAGGTTAGCCAGGGACAGTCCTCCTTTCATGATGTGGTACAAGATGTCAGTATAGAGGGGATACCAAGAAACCCGGGGGATTTTATAAAAATCTTAGCACCCAGATGATATCAGACTTCAAACGAGATACCAACATATGTGCTTAGATCTCAGAAAGCCCCATAGATCTGTGGGTCTCCAGTCAAGCCCCCTGCCCTCCCCTTTTTGAGTTGTGCAACCAAATTGATGGAGAACAGAGTTGCAGCAAAGGTGTTTTTGTACGGTTGGTTTCAACAGTGCCTATGCTGCACAGCTCATCTTTGGAACAGCAACTCAGCTTATTGTCGAACCAAGTAAGTAGCACACTTTTCTATTATACTAATATTAGAGATGAGATACTAGTCCCTCCACAAGAGAGAGCTTCCCACAGCCCTGAAAAGCTGAAATTCCTTGGGGAGATTAAAAAAACTTTAAAGGAAAATTCCATCCCAACAGAGAGAGTTGATTAAATTCTATAGATTGACCTGTTGGATTTACTTTAAGGAAATGTCATTGTATTTGGCAGGCCTATTCCAGAGTTCAGTGTTGGCAGACAGGCCCCTTACATCCATTTAAATAAAACCCATTTCTGAGTTAGTGCTTCTGGCTGGGGACATTGTATTTGACACACAGTAGAAAGGCAATGCCAGAAGTGATAAGGCTTTCTTCCCTGCTTAGGAAAAGAAGAGCCAAGAACTGAATTGGGAAGCAAAAAAGGAAGAAAGAAAGGAAAGAAGTAAGGAAGAAGAAAGGAAAGAGAAAAAGAAAGGATAGATAGATGGATGGATGGATAGATAGATAGATAGATAGATAGATAGATAGATAGATAGATAGATATCTGGATGGATGGTTGGATGGATGGATAGATAGATGGCTAGATAGACAGATAGCAGAGAGGATGTTTGCTCTTTCAGGTAAGAGGAAGAGCATCATGCTACTATCTTGTCACAATCTCTGTGTTTAGTTGCAATCCATATAACTATAGAATGTGAGAACTGTAAGAAAAATTTGGAAATAATCTAGTCCAGCTCCCTCATTGTATAGATAAAGAAACCGAGATCCAAAAGGGGTAAGTGATTTGTCCAAAGTCATCACAGCATATTAGTTGCAGTATTGGTTCCAGAACCCAGGTTTCTAGACATCCAGGCCTGTGCTCTTTTCTGAGCATTGCATAATGCTGCCTTTATGCCAAAGCACCCAGGCTCAGACTCAAAGACCACACAAAACCGGGAGGCCAGAGTACCTGCCTGCATAGAGCCCTTTCATGTTAATTAGTCTCTTTCCAGATTTCAGAAAGCAAGACCAGGGCAGCATCTGCCACAAGCAATACTTCAGAGTACTTCTCGCCTAGTCCGTTACCTCTATGAGCCTAGGGGAGTCAGCCTTACAGTTTAGCAGCAGGCACCCAGCTATTAAACTTATCTTTAGAATAGACCCCAATTTGACTGTGCAGGATAATGAGCACTGATGGTTCCTGGAGGCTCCTGAACCATAGGGGAAGTGTTTGAAGACCTGGGGGACAGGGAAAGGATGATGTTCATTGTGCTAGATAAACTTTGGCAGGAGATTATCCATTATAGCAACCTAACTGTTGGTTCATCTATTGCCTGAGGACCTGTGAAAAGTCTACACAAAGTAATTGTACTTTAATGTTAAGTCATTTTCGGAGCCTGAAGAGTCCAATGAAGTGGGTTTCCCCACTGATCCATAGCTGGTGTATCCCAGGGGGAAATGAAGATTCACAATGAGGCATGTTTCTGTGGCCAGGCTTACACTGACAGCATTAGATGGATACCTACTCCTCTGCAAAGGGAGTTGATTAAACTGTGAAGATAAACCCATTAGATTTATCTTAAGAAAGTGTCACTGGAGTTGGCAGGTTTGTCTCAGAGCATGGTGTTGGCAGACAAATTCTTTTCAATTATTTTAAAAAAACTTATTCCTGAAATAGGACTTCTGGCCCAGGATATTGTAACCAGTAAAACAGAGCCAAAGGGGCTGGGATTCTCTTCATCATGAATAGGTCCCAAAGGGGTTTGCATAGCCTATCCCCTGAGCTCAACAAATTCATCTTAGTCACCTGAACTGCTGGGTTTCTCAGCTGACACTATGGAAGGATGAGGCAGCCATTCAGACTGGTGTCCAACAGTGTCTCTACTTTCCCAGTCAATAGTAACCTTCTAGAGCAGAGGGTCCTTTCATTGCCTTTACCTCTATTAGCTGAATCTGGTAATCCTCTCTTAAGGAACAAGACAAAATGCAATGCAACGGAGGAAGGAGAGAGACAGAAAAGAGGTATAGTTAATTGCTGTGTGAATATCTGGGGCTGGCAAATGGCAGCTGAGAAAAAAAAGTAAATATTTGGGTTTTTTTGTTTAATTCATTTCCACTTGGAAATGAGAATTACTTGCAACAAACATTTAAGTCTATTCCTTCAGGAGGTTGGAGAGAGAGGAAAATGATGAAAACTTCAAGCCCTGCCCAATGGAGCTGATCCACATTACCCAGAGGCACCATCTTCCCTACTTGATTTTCCACTAGTGGAGACATACTTTCTAAAGGAATGGAGCATGAGGTGACAAATGTGAAACTGAAGGAGTGTGAAGTCTGTGCTTCTAATCAAATCTCTTGCCCCGGAGAGATTTGCACAACACATCAGCACCTCGTTTAACCACCAACCTCCCCATCCAGACACCAATTTTTCAGTAGTGGAACAAAGTATGACTTGAGTGGCCTTTGAAGTTCAATTTTCCATATTCACTGAAACCTCACGAGACTTGCCTCCAAGTCCACATACCATAGAAATTATAAAACAAAATTATTTTTAAAAAATGCTTTCTAGAAAGAGGAATTTTCTCTCCAAGGCATCCATAACACATAGGCATGGAAAGCATCCCCCAAAAGAGCCAATTTCCTGATTTCCTTTCTAGACTCTGAGGTTAGTGGAAAATACCTCACTTGGCCCAGTGAATCATAAAGCAGATTCAAATCCATGGTAAGGCTCTCTCTGAGCGATTTGGAGCAGAAAGGGAGATTTACAAGGAAAAGGAGGATAGAGAATTCGTTTCTAGTGGAGAAGCCATCCCTCTGACCCAAGAGAGAGTCCTACTCACCAGAGTAAAAGATAGGACAAATTTCTAAATCACTTCATCACTGGCTTTGCAACCATTAAAAAAAATGTCTCTCTTGGTCTGCCTTCCAGCTATAATATCTCTTCTCTGGTATCCATCCCACTGAAGTGGCAGATAAATTTCCTATCTTAAGAGCCACTACAGGGCAAAATGTTACCCTTATCTTGCCCCATTTCTCAGCCCTGCCTTTGCGACCCTCTCAATGTGAACTTCATGTTTAGCATCTCTAATGACCTCTGGCACTTAAAGTGGTGATAGCTTCAAAGGCAAAAGAGAATTCACACAACCAGCCCCTGGCCTTGGTGAGGGTGGCTTTGTAGTTCCCTAGCTTGTCTGGTTTCTTGACTGAGGCTCCAGGCTAGCTGGGGAACTGGCACAGATGTTCTTGCCCAGGGCCTAAGTCAGCAGTGGGCTAGTTATGTGCATGACTGTGTAGCAGAGTGCTCCTGGCACACCCGGGCAATGCATTTTGGATCTGGTACTAAGCTCTCAGTAGAGCCAGGTGAGTTACAGTTTTTTGTCTATTTCTTAGATTAATTTCATCTCTCTCAATGGTACCATTTTCTTTACTTTGATGGTCACATTCCTTAGGGAATGTTACAAGAGATGGTGAACTGCAGATTTAAAACAGGATAGAGTATGGCACACTAGGTTAGGGAATTAAAGAAACTCCGTTTTGTTTTAGAAATCTTCAGAGCATCCCAGAAATGAAAGGAAATGAAAAGGAAATGAAAGAAGTATGACACTATTGTCCAGGGGTCAGGACAAAAGACACACACACACACACACACACACACACACACAGCACACACCTTAGTTCCAGTTCTCCAGAGATTTGCTTCACGTATCCACATCCCTTTGGCCATGCTGATCTAGCCTAAAAATGCGTCCTCTGCTTTAGACATCCTTGGGAAAATATTGTTGACAAATGTGGTACATCATATGGAGTATATTCAGGATTTGAAGTTGAAGTTACATCCTATGCTTCTTGGTAACCTTGAAATCTTCAGGCACAGTGCTACATAAAACACCCTATGTACACTCACTACCATCAAAAATACAGCAGATATGTTGAGATACAGATATATATAGATATACATACATAAGCTGCCAGGCAAATAAAGCAAGTTCAAGGTGAAGTATATGCTTATTTGAGTGTTCTGTCTGACAATTTAATCTTAACCGTTGACTGATTTCCATGAAAATGGGAAAGACCAAAAGTAGGATTGTAAATTCAAAACAAATCACATTTTTAAATTAGCAAATGTGATTCTATTTGGGAAGAGGAAAGGTGTGAAAGATCAGAAAATTCAAAAGAAGTAAATTCAGAGCATATTTCAATTCAATACAATTCAATTTAATTCATTTCAATTTAATTCATTTCAACAAGCATTTATTATGTGCCCACTATATGCAAGGCACTGTTAAGAGCCAGCAATAGTATCAGTGAAAGATAACACAGGTCTTACTTTTAAAGAGTTTATCATTTAAAAGAGGAGTAAAAAAGATACAAAAATAAGTGTGATACATGGTGGAATGTTATAGATGTAGGAGCCCAAAAATGACTTTTATTCAACATCAAAATTCAATTTTTTTAGCATTGGATATGAAGTCAAGTGAGATGCTAGTTTGAATCCCAGCTACAGTGATTATTAGCTGTGTGACCCTGAGCAAGCCACTGAGCTTCAGTTTTCCCATCCATAAAATAGGGGGTAACTATTTTCTTTATAAGGTTAAAAAGACAGTGCTTTGTAAACTTTAGAACACTATGAAACCTATTATTATTGAAGCCAAATGTAACATCTTAACCAGAGGTTCTTAACCTGAGATTTATGAACTTCTTCTTTAATGTAATTTGATAACTGTATTTAAATGTCATTGGTTTCCTTAGTAATAATATGCATTTTATTTTATGCATTTAAAACCATTACTCTTAGAAGAGTCAATAGGTTTCCACAAACTGCCAAAAGGGTCCCTTCACACACACAAAAAAAGGCTAAGAACCTCTATATTGTGTTTACACATATGAACCATGTTTAACCACATTCAAGGTTTTTTGGTTTTGTTTTATTTTATTTTAATCCAATTAAACAACCTTTGCTTGATCATCAGGATGTCATAAAACTGATTATAAAGATTTTTTAACTTTTCAAGTAATTATTGGTCAGTTGAAAATTATTGATTAGTCTCAACTATTGGCTCGATTATTGTAAATTCATTATTGACTAGTCTTGGTACTAATCAAGACAGGGATCATAAAAAATATTCTAGCAAACCAGTATACTACGATCAAATTCAGCATATCAATAGTATTCAATAGTAGACTATCATTTCCCAAGCTTATAGTTAAAAACATAAGCCTCTTCTTCTATACTTTAGGAATGCCATGCAGAAGAGCAATTCCATTTTTTTTGCATGGCCCTCAAATACAGAATTCAAAGCAATGGGTGGAAATTGCAGAGAGGCAGATTTAAACCTGACATAAGGAAAATTACCCTGACTATTAGACCAAAGGTGGGATAGGCTGTGTTGGGAGGTGATGAGTTCCGAGATCTTCAAGCAAAGACCAAAAGCAGAATTGTAAGTTCAAAACAAATCACATTTTTAAATTAGCAAATGTGATTCTATTTGGGAAGAGGAAGGGTGTGAAAGATCAGAAAATTCAAAAGATTGGGTTTATTTTATAACTGGATTTGATGTAAAGAGCATTCTTGTTCAGGTACAGGTTAGGTTAGATGGCCCAACTCTGCGAGTCGGTAGCTTGCCTCCTGAGCTAGGATCAAGAATCTCAGGTCAGCATTCTATAGTTCAAGTCAATGGAATTGCCTTTGACTTTCTAGAACTATAGAATGTTCAAGCTTATATGTTCCAACTAGTCTGTTTTTATAGAGGAGGGAAATGAGTCCTACAGAACTGAAAGAAATTTCCTGAGGTCACAAAAGTAGTTCATAGCAAAGACTACACCATAACCAGGGTCAACCAGGTCCAGTTAGGCATTCTTTCTTGGGGGGGGGGGTGTATTTGCTTGGTAACTCCAGCTCAAAAGAAATCCAGGCATTCTCTCACCAAGCTTATTAACAACAGCATAGAAAACCTGATGTCCTTCAGTTCTCCAGCAACCTTTGACCATAACAGAAATGGTAACCTGCATTATTGCAGCTGGGTAGACCTAAGTCTATGATGGTAAATGATTTTTTTCTTTATTAATTCAATCACCTTCCCCACCTCATGAGATCCTTGCTCTGTGTCTGAAAGAGGCTCCAGAAGCCATCTAATCAAATCCCCCTCAATCAGGATGTCACTCTTCTCTGGTATGGATATGACTGTAGTCAAGATGGATTATTAGGGGCAAGTCAAGAGGCTGCTAGAATTAATGGAAAATTCATTACAGATGAGGAAACTGAGTGTCCATAAAAACCAGCAGAAATTTATTTCAGTCCAAGATCAAACCTGGGAGATCAAACTGAAGTATCTCTGCTAAGAAGGGGAGAAGGGAGGAGAGGATATGGAAGAGAGAGAGTGGTGAGTAGGGAAGGAAAACAGAAAGCCATTTGTCATGGGTGGTTTCTAGCCGTTAATACTGAGGTTGTCCGTTGGTTTCAGCTAACTCAGGGAAAGGTGGGAGATTTCTCATGTACTACTGGGGTGTTTGAAAGCAGGTGCTGGGAGAGCACAAAGGGAGGGGTCCTTACCCTTTAATGATGAGGAGCTGATGATGGTAAGATAGACTTCTAGGAACCATCCTCCTATACTCAGTAAATATGAGCATAATCATATATTTTTACACTAAAATTTTCAGTTGAGAAATCTCAGGACCCATCTAACAGAGGATGTTAGAAGCCTATAGTCAAGACCAGAATACAATAGGAACTCCTTCTCTAACTTACTGTTCTGAACAGCTGGTTCTCTAGGAAGAAATTCTAAACTCATCATTTAAGTGCATTTTAAATGCCACCAGCTATCTTGGCTCTTCTCTGGTATTCATCCCACTGAACTGGCAGACAAATTTCCTATCCTATCCAGAGAGCCACTACAGGGCAAAATGTCACCCTCATCTTGCCGAATTTCTCAGCCCTGCCTTTGTGATCCTTTCCATATTCAGCATCTCTAATAGTCCCTAGCACTTGAAGTGATGGTAGCTTCAAAGGTAAAAGAAAATTCACACAACTAGTCCCTGATCTTGGGGAGGGGTGGGCTTTGTAGTTCTCTAACCTGCCTGGTTTCTTGGCTGAAGCTCTAGGCTAGCAGGAGAATAGGCACAGATATTCCTGTCCAGAGCACTAATTCAGCCATGGGCTTTCTGTCTCTCTAAAAGAAAGTCTACTCACTCAACAACGCAATGACTCTGAGCCATTCTGACCATAACTTTCTGTCAAACTTATCAGCCATGGTCCAGGCTCAAAATGACACCATCAGCACAGAGCTTTTATCCATGATATCCAGTATCCCATAGCTAATTGACTGCTGCCACAGAGTGCACAACTAAAGACTCAGAAGATAATTAGGTATAGTCCTGCCAAAGACAGGGATGATGGATGACTCTTATATCCTGTGTTCTGTGGCAATAAGAATGACAATGCTGAATCAGGATACTGTGAGTAACATAATCATCCCCTTGTTAGCCATATAAACATGACATTGATAATGATAATAGCTAACATTCATATAGTGCATCTCTTTCTGCTTCCCCTGCCCATCCTCTCGAGTGCTCAGGAATCAGCAAGCAGACAGCAGAGTTAAAAAACAGATCATTGGTAGAAAGTTGATCTTTAGAGTTAAAATAACCATTTCTACCATACCTTGGGTAGTCACCTCACAGAGAAGGTTGATTATATTTTTCAGAACTCCAAGAACCTTCTACGCCCTCAGTCTTTGTCATGAAAAATGGGACCAATGTTGCATGTCTGGTGAAGGACTTCTACCCCAAGCCTGTGGATATACATCTCGACCCAGACAACAATGCAACAGAAGAAGTGGTCACCACTGCCAATGGGAAGTTCAGTGCTGTCAAGCTTGGTCAATACAAGAAAGATTTGGAGCAAATTAAGTGTACAGTTCAGCACAACAATAAGACTGTGGAGGCTTCTTACAAAAGGTCTCATGAGGAATCCACTGATGAGAGTCCAGGTAGGATCTCAGGCAAAGAGGGAGTGGGAGAAGAATAAGAGAAGTTGTGGAAGGGAATACTGAACTTATCTCCAGCCTCAAAATGGCACCATACTAGAAATGAATCATAGCTAGGGAAGGGCTCTTGGTTCAAATATCTTGTGACTGAAGGTAAGTAGCAGTAGGGAAAATCCAAGTACATGGCCCCAGAAAACTCACATCACATGCATTTCTATATCACTAATTGGGGCATTGGAAGGAAACCCTTATAAGATGTGAAAAAACAGTAGACATAAAGATTCTAGGTTTGAGTCCTAGTTCTGACATTTACTTTGTTGATGTGACCATAAACACTGCACTTAGCCTCAATCTTCTTATCTATAAAAAAATGGTGGAAATAATGCTCATGTCACTGTAAGGAAAGTGCTTTGTAAACTATAAAGTGTTTTATAAATGTGAGTTATTATTCTCATCTCCCCTATGAACCTCCACCAGCTAATCAGCCCTTTCCACATAGCTTTCTCTTTGTTGTTGCTCAAGACTAATGGTTTATGGGGCACTGTCCAATCCAGACTGGTATTGACCCCCAAAAGGAAGTGGCCCAGCCTGTCCCAGCTATCAGATAGCCATAGGAAACTCCTTCAGAAGCTATGCATTTAAAGAGTCAGCCATACAACTTTCAATATTGGAATCATGAAGCAATAGAAAGCATTGGATTAGAAGTCAGAATAATTAATAACTCACATTTTTAGATTTATAAAGCATTTTCTTTGCAACAACACTGGGAGGTAGATAGTAAAATTATTAAGCACAGAGAGGTAAAGTGACATACCACTTGGTATTCAAACCTAAGTCTTCTGACTCCAAATCCAACACTATTATCACTACAGCGTAATATACTATCTATGTGATTGTGGGCAAGTCACTTCAATATAATTCGGTTCAACAAACATTTATTAAGTGCCTATTGTATGCAAGGCACTAAATGCACACAGTTGAAAAATGACAATCCCTCACCTCAAGGACCATGAATGAATACAATTCAAGGTAGAATGATATAGGGTCCAAGAGAACTGCAAAGTACTCTGGAAATTTTGAGAAATGAGATCACTTTAAGATGGAGGGATAATGAAAGCTTCATGGAAAAGATAACACCTGAGGAAAAAAGGTATTTCAGAAGAGCAAAAGTGATAAAACAGTACATTCCAGGCATAGAGAATGCCCTGTACACATGTAAGAGGAGGGAGATGTGAGAAAGATACTGCAAAATAGCTAGTGATCTATTTTGGCTGGAATATGGAATACATTAATGGTAGTAATATGAAATAAGTTTAGACACCTAGATTGGAGCTAAAATGTATATGACCTTAAATGCCAGACTGTAAAGTTTATATTTTTCCCATAGGTAATAGGGAGCCATTGATGATTCAGAGTCAGAATTTTGCATTAGGAAGATACTATTTGAAGTTGTGGGAAATATAAATTGGAGGAGAAGGAGACTAGGGCAAAGAGTTAGTGGGATGCAATGAATCAAGCAAAATGGGCCTGAACCAGGATAGTGGCAGTGAGTTGAGAGAAAGGGATAGCCATGAAGGATATTATGGAGATAGAATAAGTAGGACTTGGCCACTAGTTGAATTTGACAGGGGCAGAGGGGAAGGAGAGGGAAGAGTCAAAGGATGAATTAGTTTTTGAGCCTAAATTTCTGGAAGAATGGCTGTGCTATAAAGAGAAAGGCACAAGGGGCAGATAAGTGGTGCAGTGGATAGAGCTCTGGCCTTGGAGTCAGGAGGACCTGAGTTCAAATCCAGCCTCAGATACTTGACTACTTGACACTTACTAGCTGTGTGACCCTGGGCAAGTCACTTAATCCTGATTGCCTCACCGAAATGCAGAGAGAGAGAGAGAGAGAGAGAGAGAGAGAGAGAGAAAGAGAGAGAGAGAGAGAGAGAGAGAGAGAACATCCTATCCATCATGCAGTTGGAGCTAATGGGACTGGTACTCATCTGCATAGAAGTAGTAATTAAAGCCTTGGGAACGGAAAAAATCCCAAAGAGGGAAGACAAAGCCTTGCAAGGGACATAGACCTAGGGGGCAGTAAGACCATGACCCAGCAAATGAGACTGAGAAAAAGCAGTCAGAAAAGTAGAAGTGAGAAAGATAAGTGTAATAGAAGTTATAAATGGGGAGGATTTCCAGGAGGAGGAAGAACTCAATGGTATTCAATGCTGCAGAAAAATGATGAGGACTGGGGGAAAGGATGTTGGTTTTCACAATTAAAAAGCTGCTGATGACTTTTGAAAAAGTAATTTCCCAACCTTTCTGTGAGATTGGAAGCTAAGTTCTACACGGTTCTTCGTGCCTTTGTACTGCCAAACCCTAATATCTGGAATGCTCTCCCTCCTTACCACCACTTCCTAGAATCCCCGGATTCCTTTCAGATTCAACTCAAGGCACAGCTTCAGCATGAGGTCTTTTCTGGTGCTCCTAGCAGGCCCCTCTAACATTACCTTCTATCTACTCTCTACATATCGTAAAATATACCTAGTTCTCTATGCATTGTCCCTCATTGTAAGCTTCCTGAGGGTAGTAACCAGGTTTTTTTACTTCCTTTGTAGCCTCAGAGCACAGTGACGGACACATAGTATGTGATAGCATAGGTAAAACCTCTTTGCAAACCTCAAAGTACTTGTTTTTGTTATTGCTGTTGCTGCTGCAGTCAAGCTTTGTTGTTGAGTCGTTTCAGTCATTTGGGGTTTTCTTGGCAAAGATACTGAAGTAGTTTGCCATTTCCTGCTCCAGCTCATTTTACAGATAAGGAACTGAGGCAAAGAGGGTAAAATGACTTGCCCAAGGTCACACAGCCAATAAATGTCTGAGGCTGGATTTGAATTCAGGTCCTCCTGATTCCAGGGCCAGCGCTCTATCCATCCACTGAGCCACCTGGCTGCCCCACCTAGCACCAAATGCATGTCAACTGATAAATGCAAGGTGAGGAAGTGAAGGTAAGGAGTATAAACTACTCTTTCTAGAAATTTAGGAGTGTAGGAGAGAAAATAGGAAGGTAGCATGGTCAGGGAAAAAATGTTATAGGCCAGGACAGATCTGAGCATATATATAGGAAGGGATGAAAGGCCAACAGAAAGGGAGCAACTGAAGATGGATGAGAGAATGATTAATAGAACAAGCTCCCAGAGGAGAGAGGAAGTTTTAAGGTTACTCAACCTCATTAGGCCTTATTTACCTTGTCTGTAAATTTGAGGGGTTGGATCAGATGATGCCTTTGAGCTCTGAAATTCTATGATTGCCTTTGTATTCTACAGAGCCTCTTATGTTTTTATTTCATTCTTTCTAGACCTAGAAGAACCCATTGGCCAAGAGTGCCCCAAATCCACAGGTAAGTTTCAGTAAAGGGTTCAAATGGGGGCAGAAGAAATTGAAGACCAAATTCTGTAGTTCCCATATGGAGTGAGAGGGGGGACCAAAAACAGCTGAAAATAGAGACCAACAAAGAAACTTTACCTAAGAAATATGGGAGTCTACATCAATTAATCCCCCCCCACACTTGGTAGTACTTCCGGAAATTACTTGTGTGTGTTTGTATATATGTGTGTGTGTGTGTGTGTGTGTGTACATATATATATGTGTGTGTGTGTGTATATATATATATATATATATAGTAGTAGTAGTAGTAGTATTTATAGAATGCTTTTTAAATATCTCATTTGATCCTCACAACAACCCTACAAAGTAGGTGCTTTTATTAGCCTCATTTTGCAGATAAAGAAACTGAGTCAGACAAAAGTTAAGTGACCCAGTGCCACACAGCCAGTAAGTGTCTGAAACTAGATTTGAACTCAGGTCTTCCTGACTCCAAGTCCAGTGCTTTAATCACTACTCTACCTAACTACCTCAAGATAGAAAGGTAGGTAGATGAAAGAAAGGAAGGAAGGAAGGAAGGAAGGAGGGAAGGAAAGAAGGAAGGAAAGAAGGAAGAATTTAATTTTCTATTTGCATGTTATTTTCCAACAACCCAAGGTAAGCTCCTTGAGAGCAAGATCTGTTTCTTGTTCTTTATATCCCCAGAATCTACTATATAGCACTTGGCACATAGTAGGCACTTAATAAAGGTTTGTTGTAAAAGGAGACAACAATAAAAAGAGCACTAGATTTAGAGTCAGATGACCTAGGTTCAAATCCTGACTCATTCTCTTATTGTCTGCATGATTTTGGACTATTCACTTGAACTTTCTGTGCCTCAGTTTCCTCATCTGTAAAATGAGGGCATTGGACTAGACAACCTCTGAAGCCCCGTCCAAATCTACAGCCTCTGGGACCCCTTGCAGAGCTGCTTGGACTGTCTGAGAGTGTGAATCCCAGAGAAGCTCTTGATTGGGAGCACCCCAGCAGAGACTTACATCTCTGGGATGTTGCCTAAGAATAAGTTTGGTTACAGGCAGGGAACAAAAGAGTAATTCAGGGCACAGGAAGGACAGAGTCATCATTGAGTGCCTTATTCTGGGCTGGAATCTAGTCGCCATCAATGCCACTCTGCTAATTTTCCTCTTCAATAGTACAAATTGAGAAAGTGAACTTGCTGTCCATCACCCTGCTGGGGCTCCGTGTGCTGCTTGCCAAGAGCATCGCTGTCAACTTTTTCTTGACAATCAAATGTTTTTTACCCTAAGGTGAGAATAAAAATCAGTCATACTCACTACCCCCTTTCCACTCAAACTGAGGGACCCTCACAGAAGAAGCAACATGAGAGTCAGGCTGTTTTAATTGCTCACTTCACATGACACTTGCTAGGGCCATTGGGCCATTGGCTAGTGAACATGTTTAACCTCTACTTCTTTGCCTCCAAGACTCCCATCCCTTGCTCCTTTGCCTTCCTCCTGGCATACAAACACTTGACCAAATATTCCCTAATCCTAGGTCCTGTCCCCAGGCTCCCCAAGCTTCAGACATGGGAGGTTGGGCTAACCCAATACTTTTAAACTTTTCATCAGGCTACACCAAAGTGCTTCCAAAGGACAGGTTATTGACTGATCATTCTCCTTTACTTGCAGGCTTGTCTACAGCACAGGGAATAAAGAAACCAAGGATCCACTGAGATGTTTTCCCTTGACTTCCCCTTACTGTGATATAAATGGCTCTGTGGCTAACTGTTTCGACCGGCAGGTTTTTTTTTTTCCCTAACTGCTTTTGCTTTGGAAAAATTAGACTCAACTCTCTTCAAAGCCAGGTGGAAAGATAGTCCTGGAGGAGGTGGTTGACTCTTCTGTTCTATATACTGATGCATTTCTATAACTTTGAAAAGGGAAATGGAATTGTTTCATCACTTTGGCTATCAGACTCAGACACTTGAAAAGTGTTTTCCCACCCTTCTGATCTCCACTGCCTCCAGAATTTGAACCAATGGGAGAAAGGAAAAGGTTCAGGTTTGTCCCAAACCCCACACCCACTCTTCCCAATGTACCCATCTTCTCTGTGCTCACCTTGGCATCCACAAAAGGGGTAGTGTCAGAAAGTCCCTTTTTTCTAGAACCCTGGACCTAGAAAAGACCCCAGAGTTCATTTCAACCAACCCCTACTTGCAGTATGAATTCAACATCCCTGACAAATAACTGTTTAGCCTCTACTTAAAGACATCTAGTGATGAGGAACTCATTACCTCATGAGGCAGCCCATTTGAGGCAGCATTGAATAGTGAAGGGTGAGCAGGGTATTAGAGCACTGGAGTTAGAATCAGGAAGAAGTGGGTTTGAATTCTGACTCAGATACTTAACTAGTTTGTGACCCTGGGCAAAGGTCACATTTAACTTATCTAGGCTTCAATTTCTTCTTCTGTAAAATGACAGGGCTGGACTTCCAAAGTCCCTTCCTGCTCTAAATCCATTATTTTATCAATTATTATTATTATTTAACTTTTGTGTAGCTATAATTATTAGGAAGTGTTTTTATAATAAACTGAAACTGCCTCATTTAACTCTTTACCCTCTGTTCCCCACAGCTCTTCCTAAAGGGGCTAAAAAGAATTAATCTAATCTCTTTTCTATGTAACAGCCCTTCAAATATTTTAATATATAGTTCCCCTTGCCCCAAAGTCTTTTCTTCTCTATGCTAAATATCCCCAATTCCTTCAACTCATCTTTATATGGCCTGGTTTATAGTCAACTTGTATTTTTTGCCTTTCTTTGTATTCTCAGAGCTTAGTACAGTGTCTGGAATATAAGTAGGCACTTAATAAATGCTTGTTGACTTGACTTGTTGATTCTCATTTCACTGGTCAATCTCCTCTGGGAATGTTCCACTTTGTCTATGTCCCTCCAAGGCAGAGTACAGTGGAATCTCCCATTCTGGACACTGTATGTGTACCTATTAATGTAGCCAAAGTCTACCTGGTTTGGCTGTCATGTCACGCTGTTGAATGATATTGAGCCTACAACCCACCAAAACTCTTCTTTCTCTCCTAGAACCATTCAATTTACTTAGCTCTTCACAAACATATTACATATTACAGAGTCACCAAAAAGCTTAGGCAGACATTTATCTTGGTGTTTCCAAAGAGAGACCGATATTTAGAGGAGGGAGGACCATGTCTTACTTCCCAAAATCTAGTTAACTCAGAGTAGAAATAACACCTTCAGGTCACAGCATCCAGTGCTGAATTTCCCTCACTAGAAGCACATTTACTGACTTTGTGGTGACACAGCAAGACCTAGTAGCTGTTACTCAGGCTAGATCCTCAACTAACAAGAGATTCCAAGGACAAGGATGCTTTGGGAGAAAATAGGTCCTGATTCTTTTGCTTATGGTATTAATACACCTTCTGCTGTTTCTCTAAGATGCTGTCTCTACTACATGTACTAAATGGTGTTTTGTGCTTCCTGTCTCCTGGGGTTCTAAGTCATTTGCAGACCACATCAAAAGGACTGGGTGGGCCTCGAAGATTGCTCAGCTCACTGCTAGTCAAGCTGAATCAGAGCTGAGCACCCCAAGCTCACACCACAGCTTCCTGAGACCCAGCCCCCAGGTTTCCTTCCGATAACAGCACTATCAGGATCACTTGATATGACTCACAAGTTTCTGTTTCCCCTGCCTCAGCAAGTTTGCAGATCTTTCCGGGCTTAACCGCTCTGACATCAGAATCTCAAAGACTGGGGGCCATGGTAGAGGCTGGTGGGAAAGAAAAATTTTCTGGCTATCAGTAAGAGAACAGGTACCTAGAGGTAGCCATAAAAGGTCATTTTCTCACTGAGGGGCTAGACTCCCAACCAGGTCTATACAGACAAAACAAATTAACCAGGGAAACTCAAAACTGTCTAGAACAAGGGTTCTTAACCCAGGATCTACAAGGGCCAGCTCTGTGAATGTGAATGGGGAAAAAACTACCTTATTTCACTAACCTTTGAGTTGTTGTTTTTTTTTATAATCCTATGTATTTTGTTTTATTTTATGCATTAAAATCATTATTTTAAGAAGGGCTCTCCAGGCTTTGTCAGACTGCCAGAAGAGTCCCTAACCCAAGAAAGGGTAAGAACTAGTCTCTAATACAAATCATTCAGGCCCAGGCAACTCAATGAGCCCATTACTGTTATGCCTTGCCTGCATCTTCTAAAGTGTATTTACACATGTTGCAATTGTTATGGGCAGCTAGGTGGTGCAGTCTATAGAGTGCTGGCCCTGTAGTCAGGAAGACTCATGTTCTTGAGTTCAAATCCAACCTCAGACACTTACTAACTGTGTGACCCTGAGCAACTCATTTAACCCTGTTAGTTTCAGTTCCTTGTCTATAAAATGAGCTGGAGAAGAAAGTAAACCATTCCAGTATCTTTGCCAAGAAAACCCCAAATGGGATCACAAAGAGTCAGACATGACTGAAAATGGTTGAACACATAATTGTAGCAACAGCAGCAAGAATCAGCATTTAGATAGCACCTAAAGATTGATAAATACTTTACCCACCTTATCTCACTTAATCCTTACCAAGAACCATGTGTGGCAGACCCTATAGGTATCATTATCTCCACTTTGCAGATTAGAACACCAAGGCTCAGAAAGGATAAGTGTAATACACAAGGTCACTTTCCCAATAGGGCTAGGAGGTAGTCAGTATATATAGCATCATCTTCATTTTCATTTGGTTGGGATGAGGGAAGAGGTACACAATGATGTGAAGAAAGGCTATATAGAGACAGCTAGATGGTGCAGTGGATAGAGCACTGGCTGGATTCAGGAAGATCTGAGTTTAAATTTGGCCTCAGACACTTGACATTTACTAGCTGTGTGACCCTGGGCAAGTTACTTCACCCTACTGCCTCAAAAGGGAAAAAAAAGGCTATATAACCTGCATGAAGTCAGTAAGGCAAGGGAATTCAAACCTAGCTATCAAAAGTCTCAACCTTGAGTTCTTTCCACTAGATTAAGTTGCCTCCCTAAAATGAGGACAGAGCCTGGCTATCTAAACTGAATAATTAATTTTACCACACTTTGGTTCATCTCAACTATAAGATATGGTTTTTATTTTTCAGAGAAAAGCCACTTCCCATATGATGGGCTTATAAATTCTTATAATTTATAAGTATCATATAAGTTATAATAGGGCCCTTTGCAGGGCCAATAAGTAATCTCTCACCCCAAAATCAGTCTGTCAGCTAGCATTAAGTACCTGCTATGTGCCAGGCACTTCGCCAAGCACTGGGAATGTAAAGAAAGGCAAAAGATAGTCCCTACTCTCAAGGAGCTTATACTCAAATGCAGTGGTTCTCAAACATTTTGGTCTCGGGACTCCTTTATACTCTTTAAAAGTGATGACCCCAAAGAGTTTTTGTTTAGATGGGTTATAGTTACTGATATTGGCTGTATTAGAAATTAAGACTGATAGCATTTTTAAATGCTTATTCATTTTAAAATAATAATAACAAATCTATTGCATGTTAACATACATAACATTTTTTACAAAAAAATTATGTTTTCAAAAAAAAATTTGGCAAGAAGAGCAGGCACAATTTTACATATTTTGACAATCTCCTTAATATCTTGCTTAATGGAAGACATCTGGATTCTCATATACTCTTCTGCATTCAATTGTTGTGATATGTTGTTTTGGTTAAAATATGTGTAGAAAATCAGGGCCCACACCTGTATAAATGGGAAAGAAGAGGAGTATTTCAAAGCTAAATAACATCTTTGTATTATTATGAAAATAGAAAATCTCAGGGACTCCCAAAGGTCCACAGACCACAATTTGAGGTAATGTATCATTCCTACAGATAAGAACCTGTCCTGTGTTAAAGGCCTCCATGCAAAAAGAAATCTTACAATATCTGTCAATAACCCATTCTGGAACCCAGAAAGTTCTTCCAGTAAGCCTCCATGAAATTTTGTTTTCTAGAGATAAGAGAAGAGATAAAATAATTATTTATGTAGTACTATAAAATTTACAAAGCACTTTACGTGAGCTATTATCTCATTTAAGCCTCACAACAATCTTGTGAGTTAAGAAGTAGCTACCACTCATATTATTATCCCCATTTTACAGATGAGGACATTGAGGTTCAGAGACATTAAGTGACTTGCCCATGACCATGCTGCTAGTAAGTGTTAGGGGCAGAATTAGAATCCAGGTTTTCCTGAAACCAAATTCAGTGCTCTACCTACTTTACTATCTAGTCTCCTTTAAAAAAAAAAAAATCTGATTGGAGAGGGTAAAAGGTGGGCATGTTATAGCTCCTCACAGATCCTCCATTTCAGGGAGGGGCCCACTGTAGTCACCTGGTCATTATCCACCCAGCTACTGGTAGACAAATCTGCCCTCCCCACCCTGACGCCCACTTTTCCATTTCTTTCTGTGTGTTATTCTATTCTGTATGTTATCTTATTCTATGTGTTAATCCCCCATTAGATTGTAAGCTCCTTGAGGGCAGGGGCTGTCTTTTGCCTTTTTGCCACAGTGCTTAGCATCATTCCTATCACATATTAAGTGCTTAATAAATGTTTATTCATTGATTGATCCCCCTTCCAGAAGACAACCTTTAAGATATCTGAAGGCATCTCCAATGCTCACCTCGAGTTTTCATTTCTCCATACTAAATATTCCTAATTCCTTTGACCAGTCCTCACGTGACAGTATTTCAAGTTTCCTTACCAAATTAACCTGGAC